TTAAATCAGGGGATTTAAATGGTAACTCCCGTGAAAGGTAAGTAATAAAAAGATAGATAAGATTCCAAACTGACACCAAATCTATAAGTATCAGCAAAAGATCCCATCTCTAAGTTCAGGGTGTCGGTTAGATCGTGAAAACTTCCCTATTGGATGAAGAGCCGATTCAATCCCTCCCAAACCACCAAACGCAAATTCTTAACCAAACAAGAGTGCAATGAAAAAAAAATTTAAAAAAGGAGGGCAGAGGTGCTTTCTCAAGCCAAATGGCCAGGTAGTGTATAAAGATTTGATATCTATTTTCAAATTATATTCCAAAACACAGCTATAAGAGGGAAATCCCTGCATGATTTCTTTTCAAAAAAAAAAAAAAAGTTGTTTTGAGGTATACGAGTTTACCTGATAAGTTAAGTGTACTGAGCACCAATTTAGAATGAGCACAGTCTGGTAAGTTTAGACCATATATCATCATGTTTGTTCTTTATCCAGCTTCTTACTTCTTTTGTAACAGTTTGATATGAAACTGGGTAAAATGGTTCTGGGCCAGACATGGGTAGTTGCGAAGCATCTTTAGCTACTTTATCAGCTAGTTCATTTCCAGCAAAATCACAATGACCTGGGACCCAGACTAAACTAATGGTATTATGGGCCTGAGCCAGAGAATTGAGATCTTGAGTACAGTTCAAAACACAGTTTTGTAACTTGACACGATTAGCCAGGGCAAGGATGGCTGATTGGCTGTCAGAGAGAATATATATATACTTATCAACTGTATTTTTAGCTAAGAGCTCTCTGGAGACCATATTGATCGCTAGAACCTTGGCTTGGAAAACAGTTGTTAATTTACCAAGGTATAGATGAAATCTAATGAAATCTTCTTCAGATTCCTTGGTTCTTATAATAGCTCCAGCTCCAGTGAAGTTGGATTTTGATCCATATGTGTAACATTCAATTGATCCTGTTGGAATTAGGTCAATTAGAGATTCTATCTCATTCCTTTTTGGCATATGAGTTGAGAATAGTTTACCTGGAACTATTGTTTTAGTAATTGCATCTTTGGGCATATAGATTATAGGGATCTCATTGCCCAAGTCCAGACATATGTCAATGTGGCTTTGCAGGTGGCTTTTATGACCAAAACCTGTCCTTTGGCACCATGTGCCATTTTTATCCAAGCTATAGCTTTAATTGCTTCGCTCAAGAATAATTTCAAGGGTGGAATTTGCAATAAAAATTCTAATGCAGCAGTAGGGGTACTATTTAAAGCCCCACTAATGCTTAGGCAAGCAAGTCTTTGCACCTTTTGTAAAATGTTTAAATATGTGCTTTTTTTAATAATATTGATCCAGACCACGCATCCGTAAGAAAGCATTGGCCGGACTATGGCAGTATAAATCCATAGAGTAGATTTTGGGTTAAGGCCCCAAAATAAAATTATTGTTTACCAACGATTTGCCTACAAAGTACTAGAACATTTGTGGCAGTTTGTGCCTTTTCTTTTATATGGTTGATCCATGTAAGTTTACTGTCCAGGTAATATCCTAGGTATTTAACGCATTCCTTACGTCTGATAATCTGGTTACCCAGATATAAATCTGCCAGTTTCCATTTCCTTCTCCACGTGAAAACTATGACCTCAGATTTTTCAGCAGAGAAAGATAGGCCATTTGTTTCACCCCAGTGTGAAACTTTATTCAAGATCTGCTGAGCTTGATTGTGTAGGGTTCCGATATCGAAACCCTGTAATAACACAATAAGGTCATCTGCATAAGCCTGTGACATGCCAGGTTCCTCCCGTAGAAGTACTAAGAGTGAGTCGAATACCAGGTTCCACAGGAACAGGAGAAAGAATACCACCCTGTGGACACCCTTTAGTAATATCTCTCTTTACTTCATAGTCAGTGAGACTAACACAGATATTCCTGTTTTTAATCATAAAGATGATACATCTAGTTATCATAGGGTGAATATGACTTCCAGTAAGGGCCTTATGTATTTTCTCGAAACCGATGTTATCAAAGGCTCCTACAATGTCCAGTAGAATCCCAATGGCAAAGTGTCCGTCTATAATTGTTTTTTCTATTCTCCACACGAGTTGGTGTAAGGCCGACTCAGTGGAGAAGCCAGGCCTAAAACCGTGTTGGTCTAAGCCAAAAGTATGGTTCAGATTATTATCTGACTGGAGGTGCCAGAAAATCAATCGCCCCAACAGCTTAAGCTGGAAGGATGTTAGCGTAATCATTCTAAATGAGTTTGGTTTCTCATATGTATCTTTTCCTGGTTTAGGAAGAAACACACCTCGTGAAGTTCTCCAAACCTTAGGAACATATCCTAAAAACCAAACTGGATTCGAATATGTCCACGAGAATGTGGCCAAAAATATCCCAGCCTTTCTGAAGCAGAATTGGGTAAATGCCATCGTTCCCTGGAGATTTAAAGGGAAGAAATACATCAAGGGCCGCTTTAGCCTTTTCAAAGTTCACAATTGTCTTAGCAAAATCCAAATCTAATGGATTATGAAGTAGTTCCAATGGATTTTCCTGGGGGTCAGAGGTGACACTTTTGTCCCCCAGATGAAAATTCAACATGGTCGAAAGTGTATCCAAAGGGTTTATAGTATAACTGCCATCAGGTCGCATAACCGATGAGAGTTGAGACTCCTGAGATCTTTTAAGAATCTTATATACTCTGGCAGTCTCATGGTAGGACAGAATATCTGTGCAGAACGATCTCCATGAGTTGTATTTAGTTTTCCTGATTTCACTTTTAAATTTCCTTTGTAGAATTTTGAAGTTAGACCAGTTAACTTCAGATTTATTTCTGACTGCTTTCCTGTGAGCTCTCCGAACCTCTAGGCGGAGGCTTTCAAGCTCCTTGGTCCACCAAACTCTCTTGCTAGGAGAGTACTTCCTTCGTTTGAGAGGGCATGATGCATGATAAGATTCAATAATAATATTTGTCAGATTGTTTGCTTGAGTATCAAGCTCCTCGACTGTACAATTATTGTCTAAAACCTTAAGGTTAATGACATTAGAAACCAGGGAGTCCTTATAAAGGTCCCAATTTGTGTTTTTAATGTTTCTGAAATATTTAGCTGGAATTTCATCTCTAATACAAAATTGTATAAGGCGATGGTCTGAAAGTGAGGGATTGTCACTTACATGCTAATTCTTAATAAGGTTATAAATATCAGAAGAAGTTAATGTAAGGTCAATGACTTTTTCTCTTTTTCTGTTGGCAAAGGTGGGGCGATTTCCCCTGTTTACCCAAGTTAGGTTGGTATTCATTATAAGTTCCATGAGTTTTTCTCCTCTGGGATTAGTATCAGAACTGCCCCATGATAGGTGGTGAACGTTAACATCACCACCAATAACCATAGGAATATTGTTTATTTCACAGAAACTCACAAGATCTATAAATTCTTGTGGAATGTTAAGGTCATAAGCCATGTAAACTGAGCAAAAACAAATGTTTCCTCTCAGTGAACTGTTTATGTCCTTAATTAAAATAGCAGTTAAGTCCTCTGATGTAAATTGGGATAATTTCATAGCCTTTATATTTTTAGAAATGTAAATGCTAGTTCTAGGTCTTTTATTAGGTCCCTCTGTCGAAAAGAAGTGTGCGTTCATGGGCCTACCAAGGATTTTACCCTTGTACACCCAAGGTTCTTAAATTAAGGCAACAAAAGTCCATTATGTGTTAATACCATAGTGACATTTTTCATTTTGTCACATTTTTCTAAAATCTTATGGAATTGTGGGTCTATAAATCTTGCCTTCAAATCTTTCTAAACTTTCAAAGTTGCATCCTTCTTCAAGTTGCAATGTCTAACGTCCCGAAGAAAAAATACCCCTACCAGTTTTGTAACAGCAAACAGCCAGAAATATTTTGAAAAAAATCAGACGAAAAAAGTGTGAAATTAATTAATTAATTTTATAGAGAAAACATGGAAATTCAGAGAATTCGGAATACTCTGAGACAATTACATGAGAAAACTGTTATCATGAAAAAAATTGAAAAGATATTTTTAAATTAATATGTTACTTTTTAAATATTTAATTTCAATATAATACCATTATTTTAATGAAATTTATCAATGTTAGAATGTTTAAAAAAAATTGTCGAAAAATTCCCAGCTCTTGGAATTTCAAATTTTCTATAGAAACTGATCTTAAAAATCGCCAAAATGCTGATAAGTCGCCAAACTTAGATCCGTTCAATAAAAGAATTCACATCCCCAAAAGCGAAATTGTTTAAGAGCTCTTCATTACAAAAAGTGAAATAATTTCGAAATACTTGTTTCACTTCTTGCTCAGAAACTCGAGTATCCCACCATTTATATTAGAAATAGGAACAAATCATAACCCATTCAAATAACCATATTTATCAGTGAATCGCCAAAAATATACCTCCAAACTGCTAATTCACACTCAAAATGGCAGTCGTAAAAACAGACAGAAATTTCACGATTAAAATTAAGGACCTTCTGCCGATTTTGGCCAAAATTAAGGACTTTTAAGGACCAAAAATCGATTCCAAAAAACTTAAGGACTCTTAAGGACTGTACGAACCCTGTTTTTAATATCAAAAATGTATATTTTCAGTAACAGTCATTAAAACTGCATTCTTTACTCAACAGAGTATATTATATTATGATGACTAACTAATTACAGTTACTAATTTATAAATTAGTATAAGTCAAACAGCTTTACTTCAATAACCATGCTTTTTTTTCAATTATCATTTTTTCCATAAAAAAAAGTTTACTAAATAAATTAGCAAGAGGTAAACCAGAATAACCATTTTATCCTCTAGAAACTGACAAGAGAAGATATTTAAGCTCAATACATAAATGTAGAACTAAAAATTATCTGCCTTTATATATTTAATAAATGAATTTTATTCACATTACTTGGTAAATTGCATTTAACAATAGAGAATAAATACTCTTTTTCTCTACGTATTTAGAAATATTAAAAAAATATTCAATATTTACTTACTTGCACTGGAATGCCATGTAATACCGATGAACTGTGGGAAGAAATTATACGAACTCGAGGGCTACGTGGAGGTGCTTGACTGAAATTAATATGCAAATCACTTAAAGAATGAAAAGCATGACTAAGGAAATGCAGAAGTTGAGATATCCTGCTGAACAATCGATGAGCATCACTCAGTTGCTATAAGTGAAAAAAAAGTTCAAATATAAATAATTAAAGAAAAGATATCAGAATATACATATAAAATGGTAGAATATACTAAAATAACTTGAATGTACTACTTTTAATTGGAAATTTCTCAGATATTTTAGTTAATTTTCTTTTCTTTAGCAATTTCATTTTCGTTAGCACCTTTTCTAATTTTATTTGTTTCAATAAGCTCCCACTAGTCCCTGTTTTCAGGGTTTGTACACATTTCCTTACATGAAAATTAAGGACTTTTAAGGACCATCAAAGAAAAAATTACGGACCTATCAGCAAACAAAAAAATGAATAGAATAAAGCAATTATCCATACAACAGACTTCATGCTTGTAATTTCACTTTAAAAAACTAACAGAAGTGTGTATTATGCACTATTATTAAATTCAACTTAATACTTACCATAAAACAATTTTGAAAATTAAACTAACTCCCTACAAGTTATGAAGTAGATAACATTAAATGAGGAACATAATTTCTTGAAAAACATGTATAAGTGTATTTTACACTAATAACAGTCACTATTTTAGAGATTTACATGATTATTATTTAACTTATTTGATATTTATTTAAACATAGTCAACTACTATTATAATCACAATGTAAGAATATTTTGCAGATTAAAATAACTGATTTGTAAACATACAATTTATTTCCTTGGTTTTTTGAAAGATACTAGAATAATAAACTGTACAATAAAAGATACAAAACATTTGTGCTTTTTTTAAATCTGAAATCTTCCTTTTCTTAATTTAATGTCTATTCTTCTTAAGTTTCAAGTTCATTTGCTTTGATAAACAAATCAATGTTCCTGATGGTCTCAGCTTTATCATGCTAAAGCATCTACTTCTTCATTAATGTCTTTAATGTCCCTTTGAGGAAAGTTTTTTCTTCTGCTTCATATAATCAATTTCTTCTTCAATAATATTTCTTTTCCTCTTTGAATTTTCAGATTTAGTTAAAGATTTTTGTTCTTCTAAATACTGAACTTCTAAATAACGAACTCCACTTCTTGCAGAAGCTGCTGCTGATCTCATTTCTTTATTAATTTCGATATTAAGAACACCTCCAGAAAATTTTATGTAATCAAATACTGTGCGTTGAAAAATGTATGATGAGTCACTTAAATTTTCAATTTCAATTGCTTTATTTACAGAGAAGCCCCTTTCCACAGAGGCCTGTTCATGTGACAAGATAAGAATACTTGTCACAGTGAATACTTGAATAGTGAAAATATACATTTTTACTATATTATATATATATATAATTTATTTCCTAAACAATATAGATTAATTGATTATATTATCTCCTAAGTTTAATTAAAGTAGAATTATTTTAAAAGAGTGAATCCATACTGGTAAGTTATATTTTGAAAGATGTATATATATATATATATATATACAAGTCCGAGATCCGGACATCTAATATCTGGAATGATCTAAAATCTGGACCTCAAAGCCACCACCAACCAATTTTTTAGGGCTTTTTGAAGGGAAGGGGTATGCTTTACGCACGCGCATTAGATTTTTTTCCTCATCATAAAAAAAATGCCGGAGAAATCCGATTCTTAATCTTAGTTTGGTGCTAAATAAAATATCTCTCATTATTGAAGAAATAATTATTTTAGCATAAATTTGTGTGATTAGTAACTTGACTCCATAGCTGCGTATCTGCTTGGCATAATCTCAAACCGAAACATTTGTTAATTTTACACCAACTAATATTTTATATCCTTGATGCCGAAATCGCGAATCATTATTTATTGTATTTTGCTTTCATCACCGCATGTTTATCAACGAATGACAACTTGAGTGAGTGATGAATCATGCAGCGATGCCAAAGGCCAAATAACAGAGTATTATACGATTACAGATTTAAATTTAATGCGCTAAAATGTTGACAAGGGGAGATTTAGCAGAAATTTCTTTCCTTATGCTAAAAATAGATTTTGTTAATGATACTCATAGGACAAACGATTATATTTAGTGCTATTTGAATTAAGAATAACTGATTTGTTATTCACATAAAGCCAGAACCAGCTCCAGAGCTCGCATGGCCGCACCAGGCGGCAGAATTTAGCGAAGTTAAACAGAAGTTTTTCATTGCAATGACAATGCCCAATCATCAATCAATTAACGGAGGGCGGAAATCTGTAGTATGGTTCTAAATCCAGAAAATACAGCTACCGATAGTGAAGAAAGTAACAGAGAGGTTACTGAACGAGAAAAAAATTTTGATTGACAAGTTATTCGGAATTCTCGACACAGCAATTACAGGACTTGAACAATGGAACTTAATAACTGAACAAGAAATTATATGTCTATAGTATTAGTCTAAAGTATTAGCAGAGAAAACAAATCAAACAACTCACATTGAAAGAAATGTTTAATTAAAGTAAACATATAAATATTAAGCTCTTTTCTTTTGGTAAATTTTGATACCCTTTAAATCATAAATGCTTCATTATTTCATAAATCACGATTTCATATTTTCAATTTTATAATTTCTACGTGCCATCTTAGTAGATTTAAAATGATCTAATATCCGGAAAAATCTCAAATCTAGGATCGCCGAAGTCCCGACGAGTCCAGACCTCGGACTTTGTACACTGTATAAATATATATATATATATATATATATATAATACGGAATGTATATTTTCAGTTAAACTTCTACCCAATAACTTTAGTAATTCATGAAAGTTAATTTTGCGTCTAGTTAATTCAGGAAAATTAGTTTCAATTAGTTGTTTTCAGCTTTAAAAATATTTAAAAAATTTTTAATTAGTTAGTTTTTTCAACTAATAATTGTATCGCCATTAGCAAAAATTATGCATTACTATCAACAACATAGGTTTAAAAACCAAATACTTAATTGCCTATTGAAGCTTCAAAACGTATTTCCGAACTTCACGTTTTCTCGGCTAGCGTTACCAAATGCCCTTGGCGACCTAAAATCGAAATGCAGCCAACAGATTTCCTGCGAAATCGATAACAGACCCTGTGCAGAAATAAACTCATAATCCCAATATCCCATACATATAGTATGTGCAAAAGAGAATAAACTCCGTAGAAGGTGATAAAAAATTAATTTATGGCTTAATTGAAGTATTTCTAAAATACTATATTATACTATATCTCAATTATAGTAATATACTATATTATACTATATTATACTAAATAAATTAATCTAAAATACTATATTATACTATATCTCAAATATAGTATTTCTAAAATACTATATGTATTATTTCAATACATTATCATTACTTTAATTTATATTTATCAATGCTTTGTTTGTTTAAAAAAATTCCCAAATCTCCGAATAAAAATTTTGTACACAAATTATCTTAAAAGGGGCAAAATGTTCATAAGATACCAAATTTAGTTTCGTGTAAGAAAGAAATTCATACCCATAAAAAGGGAAAAGTTATTTTTGATGTAATATTTCATAAACTCTTCATTCAAGTCCCCCCTCCATGTTTATATTTCAATCAAAGTACGGCCTCCTGCCCAGAAACTCAAGAATTGCACTATTTCTATTAGAAGTAGTAATGAATTCAAATAGTAACCAATCAACGGATGAAAAAAAAAAAACTTTAAAATGTTAATTCACACTCAAAATGGCAATCATAAAAACAGACACATCACATGAGGACGTTAAGGGACATTTTCCGAGTTTGACCAAAATTTAGGGAGTTTTAAGATCCAAGATTTGTTTCAATAAAAACCTAAAGACCATATGAACCCTGATACAAAGACAGTGGTCTGATGGCTCCAGCAAGGATTGCTGCTGATGGCCACAGTGATTAAACTACATCTCTTATTAATGAGACTGCAGCATGAAACAATGATCATAGATACCATTTCTTAAAGTTATGGGTCTTGACACCATTTTCGTTTAAAATAACACTGGCTGATAACGACAACCAGTTCACAGGCTCTCGCTATCAGGCAGTTTTTTAAACTGAAAACATTACTTTATGTGGAATTTCTCTTCATGACTCTCCAAAGGAACCTCATGTGAAAAACATGTGATTCATGAATGGGCACAGTTAACCCAAAGTGATATTTGATCAAAATATATGATCTTACTTTCAACATAAAGTCAGTGCTGCCAGACACGTTTCCAGAACAGATTACAGTACTCCATACTTATGGACCTACACTAAAAAATGTTTTTGTCACCAAAAATTCCTATTTTTTATCATTGTTATTTAATAATTTAATTTTCTTCTTTGAATTTCCCAGTACTATTTGTTTTTCTTTATCCCATGATTTGTAAAAGTTTAATTAATTTTAAATAAATGTGTTTCTAACTATGCACTATTTTCACTTTATTGATTTATGACATCAATGTATTTTCTTCCATCAGAAAGAATGTCATGCTATAAATCTAATAATGTACTGAATTTTCAGTATTTACTGAATATACAAAAATAAAACTTTTCCTTTCTCATAGTTAATTTCCTTCTATTACATCCCAGACTTCATATGAGAATTATCAAAATATGAAATTTAAAGTATGCATCATATCTTACCCTTCCAGCAAGAGGTGGGTCACTTCTGATCAAATCCCTACATCTCTCTAAGCATGGTTCCAACCTTGTATTTACTCGAATGACTTCATCTAACAAATTAGCCAAAGTCTGCACACTAGGCCTATGTGTAAAGAGTTATATACATAAAGAACATTAAGAAGTTAATATTTCTAAAACATTTTTACAGAATGACACATTTTCATACCATAAATTATATTAAATAAAATTAGGGAGAAAATATACAGCAATAAGAGAATAATAAAGCAATTTTGAATGGGAAAAAAGTTTGAAAATTCTCAATTTTGAATGGGGGGGGGAAGTTTGAAAATTCTCAATTTTAAATGGAAAAAAAAAGTTTGAAAATTATGTCTTTGAAATGGTTAATCTATTACTCTTTAATAAGAATGGAACATATTAAATTCAAAATTAATCATATAAAAATGGGACATTTTTAATAATTAATTGAGCTGGTTGCACAGACAGTCAAAAGAGCACCATCTACTGCACGACGAGTGTACTAAGGAGAACAACGGAGGAAAAGACAATCTGAGTATTGGTTCTTTAGAACATCAGCAGCAAGATTGCAAATAGTTTATTTTTCTTGTTCTGTGTAAGTCGCTTGTGCTGGATTTAGTGTTGTAAAGAAAGTTTATGTGCCCAAATAAGAAGCCCTATGATTAGTGGAAACCAGAAGTACTTCAAAAATGGTGTTGTAGATTATAGAGGCACCGAGATTTTAATGCTGTACAGTATATCTCTGTGCCTCTATGGTTTAACACTGTAATTTTTATATGCTGACTATAGAGGCAAAAAGATTTTAACAAAAAATAAGTAGGAGCTTCCTTGAATTGATTTTATTGGAGTATAATTTTACTGAAGATATATATGAAAACAAAATCCAAATAGTTTCAGAATTACAAAACGGAGAATTTGGTAGCAGTTCTTCGTGAAGATAAACCAACTGTTGGTTTAACAGCGGTTCTGTTAAAAAGTAAAACTCTTAATAATGACCCTGAATTGGTCACCAGTTTATTAAAATCAATGGTCAAGGGAAGAAAATACAAAAATGAGAAAAACTAGGGATATACAGTACAAAGTCGGCAATCCAAATATCCATTATCCGCACCTCAAATTTTCTATGCTTTTTTTATACATGAGCGTAATGCATTTATGCATGCACGTTTAATGTATAACGGATGGTATAAGGCAAAAATTATCTTTACTGATTCTAAGGCATTTCAGTTAATGTTGCAGATTGCACTGTTCCTTAATCTTTTAATTGGATCCGGCTTATTATTTCTTGCAGATTTTATAAAAATCAAGCCTGAACTTTCGATTATGTCAAAAAGAGTTTCCAATTCTGAAGCTGCCAAAGGATCTACAAAGCGAAAGCATGTTTCGATGTCCATCAAACAAAAAGTGGAATTGCTGCAAAAAATGGATAAATTACAGGACTTGAACAGTGAAACTTTGTAACTGAACAAAAAATTATGTCTGTTTATAGAATTTAAGAGAAAGTATTAGCACAAAAAATGAAGCAATTTAAACAACTTACATTGAAAGTAATGTTTATTAAAGTAAACAAATAAATATTAAGGTTTTTTTGTAAATTTTGATACCCTTTAGATCAGTGGTTCTTAACCGGGGGTGCGGGAATGTATTTTTGGGGATGCGGGAGAAGCCCCTACCCAACCATAAAAATTATTAAATTTCTTATAATAAAATATTTGAAATCTACAATAGTGTCCCCAATATTGAAGCTCATAAAAATTGGTAGCACCTAGCTCACTCGGCAAAAGACACAGGAAAGAGCCGGTGTCGACGGGCGTATACATTACGCACGAAAAGGCATGAAACACTACAAACGAACGCGAACAGGCAGCTAGGTAACGGAGAAAAGAAACTTGTGAAAAAAACATGCGCAAGCTGGGATAACGCTCTCCGCTTGTATTCCCAGCTTGCGCGTGCGCTGAGTTCAATATGTGCTACTCCAATGGAATCTACAGATTCACAGATTTGTATCAGCATCTACTGCACCTGTGTTAGGTTGAATCAAGTTGAGTCAACTATTGTGTCTGCGACATGTGTATTGTGTATTCTGACTTGTCCAGAAACCTCTTGAGACTAATGCATTCTTAATTGCCCGTTCAAGCCGAATAGGATTCAGTGATATTACAAACGTAAGAACATAACATATATAATATTACATTATTTCTAAATAATTAAATCGATTATAGTGAACCCCACTATGTCAAAAAAACGACAATGGAACGATAAGTATGCCGGTTATGGATTTACCTGCACAACCGAAATAGATGGAACGCAACGACTGCAATGCATCTTGTGTTCCAAAATATTTTCAAACGGCAATCTCAAACCATCAAAGTTATTAGAGCATTTCAACAATCTGCATGGTGGCGAAAAAAGCGCATAGCATGAAATGCAGCTTGAAAGTCAAAGAAGGCTCGGTTTGATACCAGTGGAACTATCCTAAAATTGTGCGGACCAGCAATTCAAAAACCTTATTAGAAGCAAGTGGCATATATTATGTGAAGCGTCATATCCTTTATTTGAAGCGTGGCAAGTAGCATTTTATGTGAAAAAAAAAAAAGAAAGAAAAAAGAAACCTCACAAGATCGCTAAAGAGTTGATTAAACCTTCTGCTTTAATTATGCTAAAACAGTTTTAGATTCGGAAGCACATAAAAAAATCCAACAGACTCCATTATCGAATGATATTATACGATCGTGAATACAAGATCTCGGTGAAGATATTTTAATGCAAGTAATTGAAAACACGAAAATCAGTCCACTAAAAATAAGCATGCAACTGGATGAGTCAACTGATTTTGATAATTATAGCCAACTTTTGGTATTTGTCAGGTATGTGAAGGAAAAAGAGGTGATAGAAGAATTTCTATGTTGTGAGCCACTGGAGGTGAATACGAGAGGAATTGATGTTTTCAATTGCATCAAAGATTTTTTTACTAAATATCAATTACCAATGAATGTGATTGGCTCAGTATGCACTGATGGAGCCCCAGCAATGTTAGGCAAAAATTCACGATATTTTTCACACATGAAAAGAGAATTACCGGAAGTTATAATAACGCATTGCATGTTGCATCGTCATGCACTTGCGTCGAAAGCATTGCCAGAAAGTTTAAAACAACATCTAACTACAGCAGTAAATGTAGTAAAATACATCCGAGGGCGAGAGCTTAATCATCGCATTTTTCGAGCATTTTGCAAAGAAATCGGTGCTGATCATAACGTGCTCCTATATCATACCGAAATACGATGGTTATCTAAGGGTTGAATGCTTAACAGAGTTTTTGAATTGCGTGAGGAAATTATTCAATTACTGACTAGTCAAAACTGTTATTTAGTAAAAGATTTTGAGAGTAATGATGCAATGCTGAGGCTGGCCTACTTAGCAGACATATTTAGCCATTTAAATGAATTGAATCTATCAATGCAAGGATTTGGTATAAAATATAATAATATCTAGTGAAAAATTATCTTCATTTATTGCAAAATTAGAAATTTGGATACGTCGAGTAGAAAAGGGGAATTTTGAAAACTTTCCCTTGCTTGATTCTGTTATTGTGAAAAATGAAAAGAATACAATTATACCCGACAGTGTAATACATTTGAAACGATTGAGCGAATCATTCAATGGATATTTTTCTACCAGAAATATTACCGAAACTCAGAGATGGATATTGGATCCATTTCTATTTGACTTAAATTTGATGGATGATAAGTGATCTGAAAAAATGTCAACTTACTGAAATGCGAGCAAGTGGACATGTTACAACGTTATCCAGAGTTGGCGAAGGGAGCACTGCAGTTACTCTTACCCTTTGCTACTACCTACTTGTGCGAAATGGGATTTTCATTGCTTTTGCATATAAAAACTAAAGCGAGAAATCGCTTAAATGCAAGTGATGACTTACGCGTATGTCTTTCAAAAAAGGAACCTCACTTCGCCAGTATAATAATGAACAAACAACAGACTAGTCATTAATAAAAATAATATTGTTTTGTATTTATATAAAATGTACGTTTTTCAATAAACAATAAGTTTCTCAAAAAATGTATTTTTCTAAACTAAAAAAATTAAAACACAGTTTTCAATGGGGTGCGGAAATATATTTTCAGATTCAATGGGGTGCGACTCGCTAGAAAGATTAAGAACCACTGCTTTAGATCATAACTGCTCTTTATTTCATAAATTATGGTTTCATATTTTTAATTGTATAATTTTTGCATGCCATCTTACCAGATTTAAATTGATGATCTGTAATTCGGAAAAAACCCTAATCCGGAATTGCCGAAGTCCCGACGAGTCCAAGATTACGCACTTTGTACTGTATTACTATGTTTTTGAGCTCTAAATATTTAATTTAAGAAAATAAAATTATCGCAACTGGAAAAAAAAATATCTTCCTCATATGAGAAATAATATAAACAAAAATAAATATCTGTTTAAGTATGTTATATATGTGGAAAATTTATATATATCACTTAAGTTTGTCTGCAATGGAGCAACAAACCAGAAAAACTATTCATGCCCTCCGAAAAAGGGGGAGAAGGATGTCAGAGAAACCTAAAAGTTTAGATTAGCAGTTCATTCTGTGGCACAGAACGTATTAAATACCTATGCCATAAAATAATTTAGACCAGTGGTCTGAAACTCATATTGCCCGCCAGCCACATGCATGATATGAATACAGCTGACAGACCAGAATTTTTTTTCTCCCTTCTCTTCTTCTCCCAAAATGAATTTTTTTTTATTAACAGAATAAAAAATAGTTTACAAAATTACAAAAACTTTTAATTTTCTTTATATCTTTCAAAACATACATAAATAATAATATCACAAAAAAAATTCAAACATATTTTTATTTTGTACCTGCAACACACGTTTGTTGATTACATTTTGTAATTCAAACATATTCACAGCTAAATTAAATTTTCAGATGAATTTAAAAACATTTCTAACATGTTTAATTAATAAATAACTTACTTAAAAGTGAAAGTATGAAAACTTCCTTAGCTTGTTAAAGACAATTTCCGAAGTTGGACAAAATTGAGAATAAATAATGGCAAATAGTCTCTTTGTCTTATTTATTAAATTCTTCTTAATAAAAATCTATATGTTTGCATATAAACAAGTACAAACTCATTTTATTCCTTACTACAGTTTGAATATTGAACATGTTTCAATGTTGATAAAATCTATAGTCTTGGAGAGGAAATTACTAGAATTTATCTTCATCACGGATTGCAGATACTCCTGGGTCAGTCAGGTCCCCCCTTATTCATTTTTAAGTGTGGAAAAAAAGGGTGTTCACATATAAAGGTATTCCTGAACAAACAGATTATCTTTAGTGCAAAAATTTGTAACCAATTTATTTTTTGACAAGTACGAATAAAAGTTAGCAAAATCTATGAATAAAATTTATATCAGATTGTTAATTAATTAGCTCCATTTATAGATTTCCTCATGCATTATTCAAGTTAGTTTTTAATGGCAATGAAAATAATGTTAAACTCAGGTTTCAAATAATTAAAATCTCAAAATATCCGTAACCCTGTATTTGTGACAAATTCATAATAAAGTCTTCATAGGTTGCACAAAACTACTTCGGAGGGCAGTTTCAGATAACTGATCTAGGCTTCAACATTCTTTAGTTAAAAAATTAACATATAAGTTGTTCAGCCTAGTAAATTTCAATTTCCTGACTATGTGTAGTGATATGATTGTTTAGTAAAAAAAATCTTTACAATGGATGTTAATACAAACTCTACAATGGATATACTAAGGGGGTTAAAATAGTATGTGGTTCCACAGAATTCACTAAATACAAATTATTAAAGTCACACAAATGAATGCTCCTGCAAATATTAAAGTTGCACTTTCCTGAAAACCTTTCCCAAACAAAATTTCCAGAGGTGAAGAAAGCATTAAGCGTTTGGCTGTAGGAAAAAGGGGGCTGAGAAACAAAAGTATCTCTGTTACTCTATTAATGAAAACATATGCAGAAAAATTATTAATTCTTTGCCTAAAAAATGGGCTGGAAATATTTTAAGTGAACTAATGACTCAATGCCAAAATTTATATTCAGACAGGTAATTATTCAGACAGGTTATTGCTCTGAATTTTCAAAAAGTTTTATTAGGAAATACAGAAGTACATATGCTTACTATTATGCAATGGAATGACAAAAGGGTAAAATCACTATTTGCAGAATACTTACTGAAAATAACTTTTATGCGGGTCAAAGATTTTTCAAATAGATAAAATGTTAAATTATTTTTAATGTTGTACATATAATAGAGGTAAAAGAGCCCCCTCCCCTCCAAAAAAAGAGGAAATGCATTAGCAAATAAAGGGAATGCAAATAGTGTTTATTTTTTAATGCATTTCCATATGTGAGCTTTCAATTTTACAAATTTTTCAGCAGTTCATATGAGTTTGTAAAATTGGAAGTACAATTGATTTAAAATTCGCACAAAAATAAGTACTGAATGTAAAATGTAAAAGCTATAAACTTACATAACTTCTCTACGTCCAGAAGCAGAACTGGAATTCTGAGTGCTTTGATTAGTAGTAGTAGAATCTGGAAGAGTACTATTGTCTTGCTGACTTTGCTCATTACTAGCTGGACTAGGTTGTACAGGAACAGATGGCATGCCTCCAACATCATCTGTACTTTCAGAAGTCGCAGAAGCTGAACTTTCAATTCTGGAGCCATGAAATTCTGAGGATTCAGAATCCATCGGTTCTGGATCAATTGTTCTCATGTTATCTATAACAGGAAATAGTATGTTTCAGATAGATTACAAAGTTTGGACTTATTACATTATTACGAGACATAAGAATACACACACACACACACACCAAAAAAAAAAAAAAAAAGGGAGAGAAAGAAAAACAATAATTGGATACAAATTTGTTATTGCTTCCATCCATACAGAGGCAGAATGGAACTGTTTAAATGCAATCAATTACTGAAGATTTATTTTTCATACCAATTTCTTTAACCCATTTCAACTGCAGCCACTTTTGCCCTTGCACTCGAGGATTTCTTAACGATTACACTGCTAGGAAACATTTTAGCATGACTCATTGGAATCTGTGACAGGTTGTGCTCTAGTAAAATGGCAGAGAACGGGCATTCTGCCAAGCACTTTATCCTTGTGCATGCATATGTTTAAGAACATTGGCCCTTCCACCATGGGAAATTGAAAAATCGCAATAGCAAATGATACACATTGCAAAATTAAATTTCCTTGGTGAAATAACAGAAGGAAAGTCCTATGTGTATGATTTTTGTACCAGTACATGAGCATTTTACATTTTACGGTAACATAACTATTACAAAAGATTGCAGTTTCTTAAAATATTTCTGGGAAGCACGAGACATTTAGCGAAACAAACGAAATAACAATCTCCAATTTGCTTTGTGCTCATTGGTTAATATATGGCAGATGACCCCCAATGGTGCTTGGTTCTCATTCGAGAACTGGAACACAACATTTTCGGGCTCTCATACATAAAGCAGAAATGTGCCATATCTTACTAATGAAACGACTTTTTTTATATGTATCTAGTTTTATATGTATATAGTTTTCTTTTATATGTATCTAGAGAGAAAATAAGTGCTTTTGGACGCCAAAAATCACTATTTTGAGTGCACATAAGACAAGCTACACAAAAATTGTAAGAAATTCTAAGAGAAAGTCGGGAGAAGTATGTTGCAAATCGGGTTGGTTGGAGTATGGTCAGAAATCGGGAGTCTCTCACCTAAATCGGGAGAATTGGCAAATCTGCAGTTCTTTTATAATTTAAGCACACAGGCAAAAAGAAAAATATTATTTTTTAAAAAGTCTTTAATATAGACTAAATTTCCATTTGTTTGTATGTTTTGAGTCAGACCAACAGAAACAGATATTGTGGAGGTTGTCATAAATTAGGATTGGACTTTACTTAATTCTTTACATTTTTAAAACAAATTTGAAATTAGTACCTCTTTTTTTAATTATTAAAAAAAATAACTGCATCAATGAAAAAATCAAATGAACAAATGGAAAGAGAATTTGTTGCAATAGACTTTGCAAATAAAAAGTAATTTTCTTTTTAAATTTAAAAAGAAGGATTTATCTTATTGGACAAAAATACTTTCATTACATTTAAATATCTAAATTAATTAAAGATAAATTATTCAAGTCCCTCTGTTTACTTAAAACTAAATTGACTAAGTTTTCTTAGTAAATGCAATGCTATTTGATGGCAAACATCAAGACAAAAAAAATCTAACTGGAGACAGGTACACTAGATACATACAGCTTGTTGAAAAGAACAGATATTTTATTAAACCCAAAATAAAATCAAAAACAAATACAGACAGTTCACTAATAAGAAAGCATATAATGATTCAATTGACAAATATACAATTTCTTTTTTGTTGCACTTAGCAAATTAATATAACTGCGAGTTCTTGACAGTAGTTGTAAATAAATCGATTAGCTGTCTGATGAAAAGGAATGAGCAATCCTCCAAATCAGGATCCAGCTGATCTTTTGACATTTCAGTAGTAATAAAATAAAAGTTTATTTAGTGGATACGTGAATAGTCTTTCAGTATAAATAATTACTTTCCTCTTGATAAATTTAATCAGAACACTTTATCCTCCACCAAATGACTGTGTAACAATTTGGAAAGAAAAATTATTGGGTGGGGTGCTCATTTTTGCTACTTATCCTCAATGTTATCATAGCAAACCTACTTGTGATGTGAAGTTCAGAGGTTAACACACTTGACACACTATTAACTATTAACCATGGCACTATTAACCCAAAAGGGTACTTTGTGATTATCCACCCAACCCTGAAAAGAATTCACCAGTGACATGCTATGTAATTAAAATATGATGATGCAACCTATGATGTCGCCAAGTGTGATTACGTGACAACTCAGGCACAGTCGAGCGTCAATTATTAGTGTTTGTTTTCATAGCATTGACATTGGAATTTCTTTTTGTTGTACTCTGTGCCCCTCCTTTTTAAAGAATCTTAATGGGAATGTGGATTTTGTCAGCTGATGAAAAAAAAAAAGCATTGCATTTCTTCTAAAATATGGCATCTTTTCCAACAGTAGAGATGAAAAAATTTGCATTCCATTCAGCTGCAATTCTTAAATCAGATCAAATCAAATATTAGTAATTAAAATTGTGCATTTGTGATGGATTTCTACAATTATTTGGCAAAAACAGAGCACTACATGAAGAGAACAACAGTGTGCAGAATATCAAACTGTCCTGCAGTGCAGAGTTTCTGAAATTCTCTGATGTTTTTCGAAGCTAAAACAAATTGTTATGCACAAGGGGAGAAGAATAAAGGTAAATTTTATTATGGATGTTTCTTGCATTGTTAACTTATTCAATGGGTTGCTATTTTATGTAATTCTTACAATGCCACCTGAATTTCGCATCTTAGGTTGGCCAAAATTAGGCACTAATGACTGGCTACTTTTCAGGAGGGTTAGGCAGATAACCAGAAAAGACCCCAAAAAGTATTGATTTTCATTTCAAAATACAGATTTACAATGTCCTAATCCTAACGATTAAAACGCTAAAGCGATATCCTAATTTTGATACCTCCACAAATTCTATATTTATAAGGCAAAAATGATCAAAGGCAAGAAATTTTAATATTAGTACTTCAAATTAACAATAAACAGAACTGTAGCGAAGCGGTATCTTAACTTTAAATTAATGAACCTAATACATCAATGCGAGTGGACTGTAAATTAAACTTTTATTCGGCAGTTTGAACTTTCGATTGAACTTTCGAACACAACACAGCACAAAGTAAAAACGACAGTTACAATTAGCAGTTTTAAGAATGCAAGAACAAAATGCGAGCTGCGCACACAATCTGTGCATTGCGAAATAATATCTCACAGACAGGCAGAGAGCTCTGGTGGCCGAAACATTCCGCCCGGTGTTGAAACATCGTTTCAAACTAAATAGCTTTTACAAAATGAAATTATCATAACATATTAAGTTATGCAAAAATGTATCATTAAAATATTCACAAGAAAACATAATATGAAATTATGCAATGAAACTAAATGGTTCTCAAAACAGATGCACAGAAGCCTTGATACAATTCAGGAACTTAATTAAAGTAAAGTACAAAGTTATAATGCTTTAGGGAAAAACACTTAACCATTGATAGGCAAAACACTAAGTTTGTGAATTGGCCTTTTGAAAACTCCGTTAGCAGTTTTGATCTTTCACGATACGCACAATATTATCTGAGCTAGGAAAAACTTCCAGCACTCGTCCTAATTTCCATTGTAGCGGGGGTAAATTGTCTTCCTTTATGATAACTAAATCATTAACCTTTAAATTAGGTTGCACTTTCAACCATTTTGAAGGTCGTTGCAAATTAGAAATGTATTCATTGGACCATCTTTTCCAAAAGCTTTGAAACATTTTCTCAACAAGCTTCCAACGTTGCAATATAGGAATTTTTTGATCGTGTAAACTTTCTTCTGGTAAGGCAGTTAGCGGGGTACCAATTAAAAAATGGCCTGGCGTAAGTGCAGAAAATTCTGATGGATCTTCAGACAGTGGACACAAAGGTCGCGAATTTAAACAAGCTTCAATTTGAGCTAGCAATGTCATAATAAATTCTTCTTGCGTTAGAAGTTGTTCACCTATGGTTCGCTTGAGATGTAACTTTGTAGATTTGACTGCAGCTTCCCATAATCCTCCAAAATGTGGCACTGCGGGAGGATTAAATATCCACTTAATACCTTCAGTAGAGCAATATTTATTAACCAATTCATTTTCATTCAAGGAGTTTATTACTCTTTTCAATTCCTTATCTGCAGCAATAAAATTTGTGCCACAATCGCTATGCACTTCTATTGGTTTTCCTCTTCGAGATACAAAGCGCTTCAAAGCGGCAATAAATGATTCTGATGTAAGATTACCTACTAATTCAATATGTATAGTTCTTGTAGTAAAACACACGAATACACAAATGTAGCATTTCATTGGTTTTACTCCTCGACCTTGCCTGGGCTTCACTTGAAATGGCCGGGCATAGTCAATTCCAACTTTGGAGAAAACTTTTGACGGAACGACTCTAGACGATGATAAATCAGACATTATCTGGGTAGATGTTTTAGCTCATACACGATGACATTTCACCCATTTCCAAATCTGTTGTCTTACAACTGACTTAGCATGGATTATCCAATATTCTCTTCTAATTACTGATAGCAATAGCAGGGGGCCAGCATGAAGAAGGGATTCATGAAAATGATTCACTATAATCTGTGTTATGTGATATTTCTTGGGCAAACAAAATAGGATATTTTCTGTCCTGCGCAATGTTGGATTGTCTTAATCTTCCTCCAACGCGTATAAGTCCACTCTTATCGATAAAGGGGTTAAAAGAAAGGATCTTACTATTTGAGTTTAACGGTTCATTCTTTTTCAGAAGATTATATTCATTAAAAAACTCATCCATTTGAACTGCATTTCTAGCGTATTGCAATTCTTCGGTTTTAAGGTAACCCTTAATATTTCGGAAGATTTAGCTGAATTATTCGCAAACCGAAAACACCATGCGATGATTCTTTTAAGTTTCAAAAATGATGAAACTTCATTAAGGATTGGAATTTGCGAAGCGACTGTTCCAATTGAACAAGAAATATTTTTCCATTGTTCCCTTAAAGACTCTTCTGAAAATGGTAAGTTGATTGAGAACAGAATATTATTTGAATTAAGCC